CTGAAACTCTGGTTGAGTCTGTCCATGTGTTTTAAGATTAAGGATTTTTCATCATGTTCTGACATGATCGGAGTCACAAGTCAGTAATTTCAATTGGGAAACTGCCAGCATCCTAGACCAAGCTAGACCAAGGAACTACTAACTCGGACAAACAGTCAAGCAGTAAACAGCCTAATCTAGGAACTACCAAGGAAGAAACTAACACTGACAGGGCAAACTACTGTATATAAACAGAGAGCAAACCCTACGCCCTTCTAGGAATAGAAGAAAAAGAATAAAGAGAGAGGACAGCAGAAGTGCAGAAAAAGAAAGAAACAGAAAGAAACAAATACAAAAAAATGACTTCTGACTTCTTTTACAGCAGATATAAGTAAAACATACATTAAACTCCTGCTCTATGATTACAACATCCATTTTTTCCGTAATCTATTAATTTTACTAATCATCAAATCCATATATCGTAATTTCATTTTTTTTCTGTTTCGCGCAAAAAGTCCAAAAGAGGCTTCCAGTTAGCATTAAAATTAGTCAATGTCTTTTCTCTAATCAAAGCTCTCAATTTCGCCATCTCAGCCAGCTCCATCAACTTTACCACCCATTCTTCCATTGTAGGTAGTATCAAGTCTTTCCACCTTTGAACATATAGAAGTCTCACTGCAGTTATCATATATAAAAACAAAGATCCATGAAATTTTTCCAATTATTTATTCATCAGCCCCCAAAGAAATGTCTTTGGTTTTTGAATTGTTTATTTATATATATGAGTCCAAAATTTTTTAGCTTTATTACATGTCCACCAAAAATGATAAAAAGTCCCTTTTTGTTGTTCACATTTCCAACATATATTTGAAGTCCCTTCGTACGTTTTTGACAATCTTTCTGGCGACAAATGCCATTGACACATCATTTTAGAAAAATTCTCTTTAAGATTTTAACATAATATAAATTTCGACTCTTTCATCCACATACTTTCCCATTGTTCCATTTGTATATAATATCCAAAATATTTAGCCCACTTTATCATACAATCTTTAACTTGTTCTTCTGTTTCAAATCTCAACTAAAGTTTATACATTTTAACAATAAGATGTTCGTCATTAGTACTTAACTTCAAATATAGTTTTATCTTGTTCAAAACCATACGTCCTTTTATCAGCCTTAAATCTTTATACTAATTATAGATGTGAAAACCATTGATACATATATCCTTCAGATATCAAATCTTCTCTTGATTTTATTATAAATTCTCCTTGGTAAAAATCTAAAATGTCACCATAAGTTAGCCATTTCTGCTTAATTGCCATTCTCTTCTATAATGTGCTTCTTGTGGTGATAGCCATAAAGGTATTTTTGGACAAAATCTAGATTTAGATCTACTCTAAATTCTCAGAATGGCACGTCTAATGATTTTTGAAATCTACGTTAACCTTAACTTTGTCATACTATAATTAGCCGTGCCACCCAAATCTCAAACCACGCCCTTCCAAGTCCGGTGACCTTCTGTTTCTCAGCATCACCCAGCTGGCTTGGATCTTGGAGACTTTATTGGTTGGCATCTATAAAGAATTAGCGAGCCGCAGTAATTTCCTGTAACAGGCTAGCTGCAGGCATTTCAAAAAGTGGTAGGGAAAGCAGCTAGAAATCTTTAACCGCAAAGAAAGGATTGATATTTTGGGGTCTGGTTAAAATCTGCTAGTGGGGGAGTGCTTACTGTTCTAAATCATTTTTCAACATTTTTGTAAACAGCAAGCGCTGTCTCACTACTTAGACCGGCAACTTGGCTACCGACAGTAGCTGCACAATGTTTTCCTGGAAATTAGCTCAGGAATTGACTGTCCTAAATCACGGCATAGCAGACATTCTGCAGGCATTATTTTAGCGATGGGGAGAAGAGTGAGATGGCAGATCCCACCAGCCAAAGCAGCAGGTGGGGGAATGAATAACTGTAGGAAGTGTTTTAGGATCCATCAAGGCAAGCCAGGAGGAAGGTGGGAGGCAGCCATCTTGACACAGTTGTCCAGGGAAGACCCAACTACTCTGGCAACAGAGTGAGTCAAGGGTGTATTGTGAGTGTCCTTTCTTTGAGTCTTCTTCTTCCATATGAAAGTGCGGTCACAAACTAGGGATTTTCTGGATTTGAGTATTTGTTTTTCTCTTCTGTTTTTACATATACGTGAGATAATGTGACTCTCTAGAGCAATGCCTCTCAACCGTGGCAACTTTAAGAAGTCTGGACTTCAATTCCCAGAATCCCCCAGCCAGCATGGAATTCTGGGAGATGAAGTCCAGACTTCTTAAAGTTGCCATGGTTGAGAAACACTGCTCTAGAAGGTAGAGAGAGTATAAAAGAACACAGTCCTTTTTTCTTTAATGTTTGACCAATAATGTTTATTCATTAACTTGGAAAAGTTGTAAAGAGGATCTCTGAAGATTACAACTGAGATTAAATTCTTTAGAATGTTCTCTAGTTCTCCGGGCAAGATGAATCTTCACATTTGTCATTGTAGGACGTATCTGTGGCCTGCCAGTTCTTCCCTTCGCTGGCCGTGCACATCTGTTTTTAACCCTCTCACTCCGACAGCCAGAGGCTCAAACTGGAGTTCAGACTCTGGGCTCCTGTTAGACCCACCCTTCCACCCACCCAGGGGCATCTGGGCGGTGCGCATCAAAATCTGCAAAACGGCGGGCACCCATATATAAAAGGTGCAAGGCTTCAATTCCCACACCACCCCTCTTATTTTGCACCCGCCCCTCCCTAATCTCTCTCTCCCTTCTGTTCCCATCCATCCAGAATTGAAAGTGGGAGGAAGTCCCCGCTGTTACCATTCTTTGAGTGACCATACTATTGCCCAGTCATCACAGGGAGCAGAAAAAGCTGACTTTTGAGAACAGCTTTCCAATCTTTGATGTTGGTGTCCCATAAATATGCATCATTTTTGCTTGAAGAGGTATAATGTGGGTGTTAAGAGTAAAAAAAAAAAAAAAAGTCTTCTTTCCAGATGTTTTTAAACTAACTGTCAAGCCATCTCTCAACCTCATCTGTCCAGAACATTGTGACAGCTAGGAAAGGCGTTCTCCAGGAACAAGCAGCAATAATGGAAGGTCTCACATCTTTCCGCTCCTAGACAACCCCAGAGAAAAATTAATCAAGAGGGTGTAATGCAGTGAGAATGCAGTACTTCGGGGAGGAGAAGTGCGCAAGAAAAGTCAGATTTTAAGTGGCCAGGCTGCAGTTTAAAAATAAAATTCCAGAGTTTCATAGACCTAAGTTATGAAGAATTTAGCATTGTTAGTATGACATAAGGACACTATCCAGAAGCACTTGACATGCGTGTGTGCACGCGCATACACTACTTTTTCAGGAGGAGTGTGTGAAAACTTTACTATGTTTTTCAGTGGTGCCATATTAGCTCTGTTCCTGAAGGTGAGGGAAACCAACAGAAAATAATTAATTTGCTTTATTAAATTTAATATTGTATTACACTAATGAAATGCAGCTAATATGATGGCTTCCGGCATTTTTTTTTTTCCTTTTCCCTATTTCAAAACGTTCAACCTTTGAGTGATGCTAGGAAGGTCACTCCCATGGATTTACACATTCTTGCTAAGAGACCCAAAAGCAGAAGAATTTTTTTCTCACCAAGTATCCCTTACATACAAATAATGGGATATAATAATGACTTTCTAGACTCTTGGGTGGTCTGAACTGTGCTTCTCTGGGGCTCTAATTTTCCTATATAAATGGCCTGAACTCAATTGCCTTTTACTCCAATTCGGGCCTCTGTCCCAAACTCACCTAAATCAGTTGCTGATGGTTGCTGTCCTTCTTCAGCACAATCTGCAACGGGCTGAAAAATCAGATTAACACCTTCCTGCTCCCTCTGTGGGCCTAACCTTTCTGTTCAGCTTCAGCTGGACGGGCCTGCATTGCATCAGCCTGACAAGATCCTGCCATCTCTGCTTTCCAAAGATGAAATTATACGGGTTGGTTATCTGGCAGGATTAATTTTACTGCCATGATGTATAACCCATAGGATGAAGGAAGCAGATCCAAAGGCTACTTCTGGGTGGAAGGTGGAGTGGATTATTTTCCCCCCTCTTCTGCTGAGGGTCACACATGAGAGAGTGGAGATAGAAGGCGAATAAAGGTGGGGAAGAGACAGTGGGGCTTGAGCAATACACAGGGAATGCAAAGAACGTAGACTTAGATGAGTGTTCTAGCATTTATTTCACCACATGCCTACATGCTAGATAGAAATATATGTTTTCAATTAATACGTCTCCTTATACATGGGGGTGAAGAGGAACTGTTTCAAGTATGTATTGCTATAGAGATTCCCATACAAATCTGAGTTAGCTATTCATGGAAACAGGAAGTTGGACTAGAAAGATGTTTGGTCTGTTCCAGTAGAGCTGTGTTGCATTCTCAGAAGCCTTCTAAGGCTAACTCAGCTTTCCACCAGGTAGGAAGGCTGGGACACATGTTTGGTGATAAATGATCTAGAACATCTGCAGTTGATAAATGATCTAGACACATCTGCAGTAGATGCTTTCCCCCTCTCCCCCCGTCCTTTGTCTGGTCAACTCCCTCCATCCCCATCTCATGGAAGCAGGATGTTAAGCCCCGGATTGCAGTATACAACCAAAAGACCTTAGGTTTTCGCAAAGTCTCCTTCGTCAGTTTTATTGCAAGGAAAAGGAAGTTAGATTACAGAATCTTGGAAACTGGACGTGTGTAGCTCCTCCATCAAGTGAGGGCCTCCTTGATGCCTTTCATTCTCTTTGTTGTAACTGTCACTTGACTCATCAGAGAAGTTGCTTCCTATTTAGGAGTTGGAAAAGGAATGTCTGTCTCTACAATAATTTGAAAACATCCATTCCCATTTCCAGGTTCAAATAATTCTGTTACCAAGAACCCCTCCTTACTGTTGTGATTCTTTCCAGCCCAGTTAAATCTAAGTCGTCTTACATTCAATATTTCTTGTGTGAACTCTCTCCAGGTGGTCACAACGTCACAATTTCTCTGCAGTCAAGGACTGGTCACACACACATGCCTTCAGTGGTCGGCGTCCTGGTCTTCACCCAGTTTTGGTTCTGGTTTCCTCTCTCTCACTTCTTGTCATTGGCTTTCACTCCAACCTGCGTGATCGGCCTTAACAAGGACCTCAAGGTATGTGCTGTGGGAGCCAGAATGATGCTCTGGAGAGCAGAGCTGCCACCTGGCTGCTTAGTATCTTTTGCCTGCCCATCTGGCCAAGGAGGAAGTTGGGGCGCTTCTTGCGATAGGAAATACTTTGATAGGAAATAGTTCAGGAAATAATATTGACCTCATCCTTGACCTGGAGGTTGGATATGGTGACCTCAGTAACTGCCATGAAGGGACAGATACAAGGTTGTTGAGTGTGTGCTTGGCAGGCAGAAGGTGGCCACATTCAACTTCTGGTATCTCCAGTTTAAAAAAGGAGGAGAATAAGAAAGTAAGCCATACAAATACATTATTTCTCTGCCCCCAGTCAGCATCTGTTTCTTAGATCAGTGTTTCTCAACCTTGGCAACTATAAGATATGCAGACTTCAACTCCCAGAACTCCCCAGTCAGGATGCTGGCTGGGGAATTCTGGGAGTTGAACTCCACACATCATAAAGTTGCCACGGTGGAGAAACAGTGCTCTAGATGAACAAAGGTTGTGTGACATGGGTCGAGGCGTGATTTGCATACAGAAGACCCCAAACTCCATCCCCACCATCTCCCAGGTGGCCAGGTTGGAATGCATCTTTTTCTGCCTTGGAGCAGCTGCTAGTCTGAGCAGACATTCCTAAGCTGAAACATCCGTTGGCCTCTTGTAGAATGAGACTCGTCCAGTTATCTGCATTCCAAATAGTTCGGGAGACAGAGGATGATGGGTCATGAGATCAGGAAATCCAGATTGCCTCAGTAAAGTGGCTACGTTCATAAATATCCATGGAAAGCCCCCCAAAAAACATTATTATTATTCCAGGGGTTTTTTTATATTTGCTAGGTGGTAACAACTTACTTACTTTAAGACCAAAACCATTTGTGTCCTGTCTTCTTTAAACAGTACAGAGCATTTAGCAACAAACGTACCCTAAAACTCCGTGGGTGGCCACGACACAATTATTTTTGTGAAATTCTGCAATTCTGCCATCCCAGGGTATTACTGGAAGATGCCAGGCTGGCAGGGTTGATTACAGGCCCTTTTTTAGCTCACTTCTCTCCTAATAAATCTGTGGTAGAATCCAGCCGTATCTTTTCCCCTTCTAGTTGGCTCCTGTTCAGTAGACCAAAGGCCAGCCCTGGGCACAGTGTCCCATCAGTTCCAGGGAGGTTCATTTTCCAAGCTCCCTCCTCTGCTCCCTGCCATGGCCTCCCTGGATCAGTTTGAGGAAGAAAAGAGCTGTTTCTTGGCAACAGTAGAAAAGCAGGGGAAATCAGCATTTATCTGGGCCTTAAGATTCAGAATCATGGATTGGTTTTGAAGCTGGCTTTTCTCCAGGAAAAGGGAGAGAAAAAGCTGCATTGAGATGATTGGTGCTTTGCCACCTTCCTGAACACGGGGAGGTTTTATTCCAGGAGCAGTTGAAGGAAAGTGGTGTGCCAAAAACACAGCAGAGATCATTTTATCCAAGGTGCAAAGACTGTCGAATGGCAGTGTTCTTTTAACATTGTCACCCAAAGATAGCTATGTGCTTTTCACCATTTTCATGGGCAGAATCAGGACTCAAAGGGTGCCGGAGACTCACGGTTGCATGCACAGCCATCCCAGCCTCCTGAGGATCTGTTGGTTTCCAGTTTTATAACTGCTTACTGCAGTTATAAGTTTAAGGATGTGGTGCCTGATTGAAACTGGAGCTCTCCAATAGCAATGTGAATTGTATGGAATTGGTCTTGCTTAATTTGAATGACCCAGTCTGTGGTACAAATTTTGGATTGCTGTACAGTCTTTGGAGTCTTAAGGCACAGAATGCATGCCATCGTATCATCCTCCCTTCCCTGGAACCAATTTACTTATTTATTTAACAAATGTATATGGCCACCATGCTTCATCTAACTAGTATTGTCCTCTGCAATTGCCAGCTTGTCTCCTGCACCTCCTACAACTGGGGAAAAGGCCTCCCCCAACTCTGCATCTTAAGATGCTGGAGAAGGCAGCTGGGATGGTCCGTTCACTGAACATCTGAGCATGTCCCTGCCAAACAGATATAAATCCACACTTAATGGCATATATACACCTAGTTTTTTGTGAGTCAGATCATGGCTCTGTTCAGTCCAGCACTGTCTGCTTCGGCAGAACCTGAGAGGGTTTGGTACCCTTTCTAACCAGTCACGCTAGTGGGGAGACTACTGGTTTGCTATAAACCACTGCTGTGCTCCCCCCTGCCCAGTCCCAGATTCATCACAGCTCCATAACAGACTCAACTGTGGGAATCTCAGCTTGCAACGTTGCACGAGGAGGCAGAGACATTATTGCCAGGAGAGAACAGAATTGCCGTGTAGAAGAAATCAGCAAGGGATGAGATACATCATTCCTTGACTCAGTCATCAGGCATGACCAGCTTGCTCCTTCTGAAATCCATTCTCCGCTTGGTCTCTAGTGCTCCTGGAAGAATGAAATAAAATTGAAATGCTCTCTGCAAGTAACCCAGGTATTGAGGTGAAGGCAAACTGAGCTGAGTAATAATGATGAATTACACACATTAAGCCCACCAGCTTGGACACACGCTCTGGGCTCAACAACTGCCAGTCCCCATTGACTCCTTGAGGCCTTGTGATTCATCGGGTACTGTTGTTCACAGGTGTTCAGGCATATTTTTGGTGTTACATAGATTAGGAACTGGCTGGGAGGCAGGACTGAAAATTGTGAGGTTCATAAGGTGTCCAGTTCAACAGGCAAGGACATGCTCTGAGCTCCAGTCAGATCCCAGCATGCACAGAGGCCTCTGTTGTCCTCAGAAAATATCCTCCTTTACTTGTGTTGTTTTATTTGAGATGTACCCCCCCCAAAAAGGGAAGTCTTATCAGACGACCACCCAGCTGTGCCAGACTTGATGAGCTTCTGCACAGTGCACTTACCTTTGAATTTTAAAAATCAAAGCGACGTAAAGCCTGTTTTTTGCTCTCTGATGCCTGCTTATCTGAGCAAAGTCTGACATTAACTTAAGCTGCCTTACAGCAGTCCTGAAACCCCAGGTTTGCCAGCAGCCCTTGCTAAGTAT